ACTGCTGGTTGTTTATAGTGTCTTTTGAGAGAGGTGGAGGATTCTAAGGCCTGAATAAAAAGGAATTTTAGAAGTTTCTTGCCTGTCTAAAAATGAGCCTTGGTGACTAGCTCAGATGTGTGTGACTAACATCAGGGGTTGAATCTCTTCTTGGGGTTTCCATGTGTTTCCTTCACTACACGTTCTCCTCCCCTCTCTCTAAGTAGAATTTAAGCAGACCAGTTTCTCATGCTGTTCCAGTTCTGAGAAGCTTTGTTTCTCAGGAAAGTCATCCTTTTCAATTCTTTTGCTAGCTCTCATTGGCAAAATAAACAAAACACTCAAAACAAACCCTGGACAAGATCATCTGAGAGTTTGTACTGGAGAATTTCAACAGCATTTTTCATATGCAGCTCTGTGGATGTATGTGTGTATATCTCCTTCCTTTACAGCTCTGTAGTTCTGACCGTGTTTCTGGCACATTGCATGTGTTTATGGCACAGAATCTGACACCAGGGATAAAGCTGCATCTTTAAGGGGCTTGCCACTTCACTTGGAAACAATGCTAGTGTGAAATGTTTCAAGTATTCTTAGAGTTTGAAGAGGAAGCATTCTGCCTATGTTATGTAGTATCTTTATGATTCAGATTTGTGCTGAGCAAAACAAGCATGATTAAGGTTCTGGCCTGTGGTGAAACAAAGTTCTAAATCACTTGGGCTGCCAATGTCTTTGCTTGCACAGATTGTGTTCTTGGTAAAAAGCAAGGCTGTGTTGGTGGATGTGATACGCCTGGTGCTACGATCCTTGAGTGTGGAGTATCGTGATGCTGTTTGGATAAACATTTGCTATTTACAGCCTTTACATTTCTAAATGAAAGATCTAACTAGGCTCCTGAATACAGGCAGATTTTGAGCAACCTTGTCTAGTGGAAGGTGTCTCTGCCCATGGCAGGAGGATTGGAATGAGTTGATCTTTAACGTCCTTTTCAAACCATTCTATGACTCCATGATTTTTTTCCCCTAGTATTCAGTACCCTTTTTCAAAGACTGTAGCTGTACTGCTGAACTGGGGTGACCTCAAAGCCAGGTGTGGAAGCAGAGTTGCTCTTGAATCCTGCCAGTGTCTATCACCAGACACACTAACACAGGGCAATAGTTTGGGTACTTCATTAAGCATGGGAGCACATTAGAAAATACATTTGTCCAACACACAAAATGCTGGACCCTTCGTCTTCCTGAATCCCATCTGTACTGTAGCAGTGTCACATGCCAGTCTGTAGGCAAGCAGGAATTCTAGGGCCATGACTAGTAAATGCTCTGGCTGTCTTGCTGTAAGGGTAGATGAAATTGATAAGTATCATTCAGATGGGCTCAGTAGGGTATCTGAACATTGTGTGTTTAGCACCTTGTCTTTCAAGAAGCTCCTGGAACCTGTCAGCTCAAAGAGGTGCAGAGGTTTCTGGGATAGGCCAAATGCTGTGACTGTGTTTATTGAGGTGTCTCTGTAGTAGATGTAGAATTCTGAGTTCACTTTCATATAAAAAAACCCAAATTATTTCACCCTTGCCTTGAGCCAGGATTTTGTCCTTCTGTTTTGGGTCCTGCCTTGGAGTTACTCCTTACACAAATCCTCGACATGCCACTCTTCAGCTGCATTGAGGGACAAGAGCAGTCCATACAAACATAAAGACCCATAATGGTCTTAAATTTTCAGTCATCAGAGCATGTCAAGTAACACAAGGGGGTTTCAGAAAGGGCATACCCTCACAGTACACCCTCATGGTACGCTGGAGTCCCTTCCTCTTGAAATGATGTGTTGGAGTGCTCTGGGAGGTGGAAATGCCAGAGATTATTTGTCACTAAAGACCAGAGCAGAGCTTTAAAAAGGTAAAACCTTGGCACCTTACTTACCTTGTTTCTTTCCTTTGCTTAGTATTCAGCCTTTGGACAAATTAATCTCTGTTGAAATCTGCTGTACCTGCCACTAAATTTGTTTTCTTCTCTAAAAATATCTGTTCTCTCATGAAGGGAGATAAACAGAAAGTGTATGTATATATTCAATTTTAGTGCATACTAGAAATCTCTTTATTGTATGTTTTATTTAGTAATTCAACATTAACCTTTACATTTGCATCTGTAAATAATACTATAAAAGTGAACTGGGCCAGAGAGGCCTTTTAGGAATTTGTTCTTTCATAGAGCTTTAAGACTCAGTCATCTGGTTAAAATTCAAAGTGGACACCTAGAATAAAAAGGTGAATAAATACAAAAATGTTATTGAAATTAATAGTATCCTCCTTACCTCTTTATCTTAAATCACATAAGACTGCAAGTTCAATTTAATCCTTCTACCATCAGTCAGTCCAAGCGCTAATAGAGAGAAGGGAGGAAAAAGCCAGACTAGTAGCTGGTTTCTGGTTTTTAACCTGATATAGAGAAGGATGCTCCCTGAATGAGACACTGGGAGAGATGAGTAGTTAGAAAGAGATTGTGCTTCATGCTGCTGAGCTGTCTGTAGCTACTGCTGTTAGGCTGCTGCTGCAAAAAAGGGAAATGCTAGGGGCAAAAGATAAAAGAGAATCCAAGGAAATGGATGTATTTTGCTAATCCTTTCCCCTCATGGCAAGAATGGTTAATCTGTTGCAGAATACAATCAGGATGCTAGACCCACTTGCCCTTGCTTGTGAGCGTGAGTTAACTGAGGGTAATGAGTTAACTAAGCTGCCTGGAGCCTGTGATTTGCACAGCACCATGGTTGTACAGCCCCAGGGCTCAATTTGTGAGTAGTACCTGCAGCCAGGAAATAGAAAGGATGACCAAGTTGTTTCATGCAACCAATGCAACGCTGTGTGCTGAGGTCCTTGTATGTGTCAACCATGTCAATTGACTCAAGGAATATTACTGACAGGCACTGTGATAAAGTCAGGGCAGAGTTGTAGCACTTGTAGAGTTTTGACTTTGGAATGTGGATTCTCAGTTATTGTTTCTAAAAATCCGGATGTTCCAAGAAGGTAATTATCTTAATATTGACTTCATAAGCATAATCTTGAATTTGGACAAGGACTTTTCTTCTCCTGGCTCCTTTAATTAAAAAAGATAAGCAATGCTTTATTTTGTATCTATGCAGAATTCCTTTTGGGGTAGAGGATTCTCTACCATATTTTTTTAGACAATCACTGTGATTGGTTGACCAGAAAAGCCGAGGAAGTCCAGATAATGTGGAGTTTACTGCACTATCTTACCTTATCTAGTGAGAATGCTAAAGAAATATGGCCAAATTAGAACATTCAGGTGATGTCTGATCTCCTGAAGAGCATGGGGCAGAAAATCTTTCCTAATAGTTCTTACCCCAAGCTTGGTGATCTTGGCTGGAGTGAAGTCTACATAATTGAAGCCCTTTTTGACATTAATATTGGAGGATGCCTGCTTCCATCTCTTTTCCCCTTATATGCTTTACTGGCAGCTTGAGCTAATGTTGGCCAAAACTGGAGTTCCCGTTGGCATAAATGCAATGGACTGATTCTTTTGTCTTTACACATACCATTTGCATTAGATGCTTGATGGGGTCTGAATTTCAGGTTTTGAATTTCCTTTTGCTAGCTATACACTGCTTTGGTTTGTGTAATAGAGTACAAACATAGCAAGAATTAATTAACTGCCTCAGGCTTTGGACACTGCTCAAACAGCCCCTTCCAATCATTTTTCTAAATTGTTCTATGGTCCAGCTCCAATGTGGCTGCTGCATCTCTGTGGTCAAAGAAACTTTAATATTCAGTGCAAGCACATGTAGTTTATCTTCCCAGTCACATTTAGCCATTCATCATAGCCATACCACAGTCCACATCACTAGGTTTTGAACCACTCTAATCTGAACATGGACCTGCCTCCAATTTGCAAATCCAGTTACTCAAAATCAAATCAAATGCAGAACCTGTAATGGTATCGTTTTCCTATTAAGGATTCAAATTTGGGTATTACAAGCATCATCTAAGTTTTTCAGCTCGGTTATCTACCTCCTTAGCCTGCAATCAGCCTTTGTTTTGTTGAGCCAGAATTTATATCAGACGAAATTTGTTTGAAATCCTGTTGAAAATGCTGCCTGATATTTATTTCTCTGTAATCTAGTACTAAAGCATAGTAGTTATTTCTCAAAGTGTATTTTTTTTTCTAAGAACCAAACTTGCTCAAAGTTGGAGAAAAGGAGCTTACATATTTTTGATGAGAGAGTGCATGGCGGGTGATAAACCATTTATATGGAGAATGAGGTTTGTGGTATTAAGCAGAGTACGCATGAAGCAAACCTATGTCAGAGACTTAGTGTGGAGTTTCATGGAAATTTGTTTACATTACAGCTATGTCATTTGTTAACCAGAAAGACTCAAAAAGATCATTATATTGAAAATTTGGCTTTCAAGAAGAGCCGCTTCACTATCTTTAGTGTTTAACTAATGAGCAGATTGATTTCTAACTTATCTCAAAATTTAGACCTCATTCTGAATATTAGAAGATGCAAATTAGGAGAAATTTACTTTTTTTTCCCCCACAGAAGAGATCTAATTCACTCCATAAAAACAAATCGCAGCATGACCTTGAGTATAGTCACTACCTATCACATCAGAGTCATGTTGACTAATCTGATTTGTCTTTCTTTCTATTTAATTTTAAGAATTTATAGGTCAACAATCACCTGCTTCCTGTTGAGCAGAAAAAAACAGGGGGGAGCCAGCTTTGTTATATGGCAGCCAAAGTGAATGTGTTGACAGCTGAAATTGGGAAGCACAAAGATGTTTGAAAAGGTTTTGGAAGAGTCAACCTGCTTTTGATTCTCAGGAGCTCAGTCTGGGTTAAATGTGAGGAGAGAGCATTGCTTCATTAGCCAACCCTGGCAACAAGGCTGATCAATAATTGTGTAGGACAATCCATTCATGTTCTTTAATCTGAACTGCTTTTAATACTTTATCTAGCAACAGTTTTTATTCTTCTTTCTTTAAGTTTATACTTCCTCTCTCTCTTGTCTTTCAGCTGTACAGCTCTATGGACTTTGGAAGAAAATGGCAGCTCATGCACGAGCGGGTCACCCCAAACAGGTTTTACTGGTGAGTTATCGCCTCTGAATTGGATTGCTTTGGGGAGGTCATGGAGGGGAGAAGGGCATCTAACTTGAAGGGACTGGTTGCTTTACCTGAACATTAAGTATACCGTTAATTTTGGTCATCATCAATGTTACATGATCAGTCCTTAGTACATATCTTGCAGTGCAGTAGTGTCATGTTTGTACCTTACCTGAGAGCAGGTGGTATCTTTTACAAACAAGCACAAGTCTTTTGATAATTGCAAAATTATCAAACTCTCTCTTATTTGTTGTATATCTACTTACAGTAACACAGAGAAACTGCCCAGAGCTTCAGTGGCAAAGCTATAATCATTAGACTTCCTATTTTTCAACTCTTCAGAGAGCTACTTTAGCCTAGAACACAGTCTTTGTACAGAGCCAGCCACTCTGACCAGTCTCCTTATGCAATCTTCATGAGAAAGGATGATTCAGACTCTGCTTTGAATCACTCTCTGAGGAGACAGTTTCTCTCTACTGACTGGTGAGAGGCCAAGATCAGCACACAGTTTGCTAAAAATCTGTTTTGTGACTCAATTCCTTTCCATTTCCCAAGTGTCAACCTCCCAGATTGGGAGAGTGTCTTAAAATCAGATGGTGAAACAAATTGAGTTCCCATGTGCAGCCTTGTCCATCTCAGATGTCTCTTTTCCAAACTTTCCTCCACCATGTGAAGACCCAAGAATTGACTTTTAGAGAGAAAGAGAAAACTGTAGTTTCTTTTGTAGCTGAACTTAGATTTGGGGCTTGGATCAGATTTTTAATGCTGTACTTACTACATGCCAGATGATGGTGCATGTAAATGTGTAGAAGTACTGATTTACAGAATCTGTGTATACTTAAAAGAGGTGTCTTGTCATTAAGACCAAAAACAAAAAGAAAATCATAATATTAAGGAAGTGGTCTTATTTTGACTGGTTAAAACTAAGAAGGACTTGGATAACTTAAAAGTTGACTCCCAATTGCAAAGCATGATTTATATATCTTAGAGTCAAATTCTCACAGAAATTCTTGCACCTCATTGAAAGCACCTAGAATCCAGGCCCAAAATATCTATGGATTGTATCTGCAGTATTTCCACACCTTGTAGTGGAGATAGACAACTCATAGGATTTTTAAATTATCTACGTCCTTCTGGAAATCTCCCTAAACAGTTTAAGACTCCTACATTTAAAACATGGCTTTTTGGCACCAAGTCTGGAGATTTCCCTTAGTGTTCCTGTGGATTATGGACAATGTGAGAAGGTGTTTGAATACCAAGAAAAAGAAATTACAAGGGTCCTAAGTCACACAAACCTGCAAAATATATCAAAGATCTACAATTTTGTCTGACTGTTACTGTTCCATATTTCCATAGTGAAGGAAAGGAAGTTGTTATGTTCTCCTGGTTCTGGTGGCAGGTGGATGATTGACTTAACTATTAAAAATCCTTTGATTTCAGTATTTGTGCTGGATGCACCTGACAATGGTGAGTGTAAATCCTCTCCAAGTGAAATAGAATAGTTGGTCCTTGGGAAAATTTTACTATACCCTTTAAATAATACAAGTGAACTTAGGGGAAAGGCTTTCTTGGAGGATAAAGTGCAAGGGCTAAGCTGACTTGGTAACAAAGCAGAATCTCTTTTTAAAGGACAGGTTGTGATGTTGTGGTTTATTTTCTATTTTCATATAATATTGGCTAGTTGCCTGTTTGTCCATTTGACACTCAAAAGTGTATCCTTTCCACAGTTTACCTCATTTTTCATAGTCTTTTGACTGCATAATTTGAACACTGTTTTTTAACACTGCATTATATAATGTCTCTGTTTCAGGTGTCTTTTTCTCTTAGGAAATGTACAAGTTTTTCATAGTTAAAACTCGTAAGACATAGACCTAGAAATCTTTATTCCACTCAGAAACAGTAGAATCCCACTGACAATAAGCTTCCCAAGAGAGCAAATTAGGTTTTTCCCAGAGTTGGAGGGATCTGAACCAATTCATAGTGCAAGCATCAGAGGTATTGAAATTGTGGAACATAATAACTTTCATTAGCTGATTTCTTTCTTTTTTTCCTTCTCTTTCCTTTTAAAGCTGCAAGCTGTGATGGCTTACAAGCTCTGGCTTGTAAGATCTGTTCAGAAAAAAATGCAAAGAGACCATTTTAACCTCAGGAATTTGTTGATTTCTTTTTATTAGGTTATGAAAGAGAGAGAAAAGTGGGCATAACTATAGGCTTCAGAGGGACATGAGCCACTACTCTTTGGAGTTCATGAAATCATAGAATGGTTTGGGTTGGAAAATAATTTAAAGATCATCTAATTCCAACCCCCCTGCCATAGGCAAGGACACCTTTCTCTGGACCAAATTGCTCAAAGCTCCATCCAACCTGGCCTTGAACACTTCCAGGAATGGGGCTTCCACAGCTTCTGTGTACAACCTGTTCCTGTGTCTTACCAGCTTCACAATAAAGAATTTCATTCTGTTATCTGTTCTAAATCTACCATCTTTCACTTTAAAGCCACTATTCTTGTCCTTTTACTACACGCCCTTTTAAAATGTCCCTCTCCGGCTCTCTTGTCACCCCTTTAGCTACTGGAAAGTTCTATAAGTTCTCCCGGAGCCTTCTCTTTTCCAGGTGGAACAATCCCAACCCTCTCAGCCTGTCTTCATAGGAGAGGTGCTCCAGCCCCTAGATCATGTTCATGGCTTCCTCTGGAATCACTCCAGCAAGTCCACGATCTTATGCTTGGTGGTGCCAGAGCTGGATGCAATGCTCCAGCTGGGGTCTCACAAGAGTGGAATAGAGGGACAGAATAAGCTCACTTGACCTACTGTTCATGCCTCTTTTGACACAGCCCAGGATATGCTAGGCTTTCTGGATTGCAAGTGCACATTGTCAGTTCATGTTGAGCTTCTCATTAAGCAACATCCCCATGTCCTTCTCCCCAGGACTGCTCTTGATTCATTCTCTGCCCAGCCTGTACTCATGCTTGGGTTTGCCCTGACCCTGGTGCAGGACATTGCACTTACCCTTGTTGAGCTTCATGAGGTTCACGCAGACTCAACTCTCAAACTTGTCAAGGTCCCTCTGGATGGCATCCCTTCCCTCCATCATGTTGACAGCACCACACTTTGGTGTCATTGAGAAACTTGCTGAATGTGCACTCACTGTCCATGTCACCAGCCTATCACTGTCCATGTAATCAGTCTATCAAATATTACATTATTGAACATTTTAATTAAAACTTATAAAACTTCAATTAAAACTGAAATAATAATGATAGGGAGATGCCAAAATCAGAGGTAAGCTGCACATTTGTGCTGCTCTGCTCAGGTAAGCATCCTTCATCAAATGGGACAGACTTCATCTGATTTGAATGCAGCTGGCTTTATCTGAGGCAGGCTTTGTTGAATGTTTTTGCCTTCAAAGCATGACTTTCATCTCTCAGGCTGCTAAGAATGGGCTTGTGAAGACTATAAACTTCACCTGGTTCATAGGATCAGTCAGCCTTACACGGAAAGGTCTTATTTTTCTCTCTGAGACCTTTCCAAATAATTATACACTCCCTGAGAGAGCTCACATATAGAGACTTTAAGGCCAGGATAAAATTATTATTGCTTCTGAGCTCATGAGACTGGGATGTGAATTTTCACTCAGCAGAGTAAGAAAGACCTGTCTGTTAGTCATGGACACACAAATCACTGTGCATTTTGGTGTAGTTCTAACCAGGCAGCATCTATGATGGCTCCTTATTGGTCAAAACCAAAGCCCTAAGCTCCAATCCTGATTTTTGGCATTGTATCCTGGCTCTTTCCTTCAGCTTCTTTCCTTAGTCCTAGGTATTTGAGCTACTCACGAGTTTGTAGTTTTGTGTTTTCATCCCATATGGATGTCACAAGTCCCACACTTCATGGAACATCTCTCATCAGTTCCTGAGCCCTCTCAAAGTTTGTGCATGAGCTGAGCCTCTGGGCCACTGATAGTTATAAAAGCCTAGGATTTGAGATCTCTACTTTAGTAGTAGTGATTCATTTGTTAACTACACCCACTGATGGCAGTGGCAGAGCTTGAACAGAATGCGTTACTTGATGTGAGTACACGCATCCAAATTTGGCTCCCACGTGCCTTGGCCCCAGAGATTTTAATAACTTCGGATCCTGTAAGGCTGGAAATAGGAGCTTACGCTAATGTGATACAGAAATTCCAAGATCACTCATCTCTCTGAAATTACTCAAGATAACTGGAATCAGCATGGGTGCAAAGTTTATTAAAGACCTACACAATGTTCTCTTCTTCCAAAACACATTTCTGCAGCTCCTTCTGGGCCCTGTTCATTTTATCTCACTATCACTTAGACACCTGTGCTGCCATGTGGAGGGATATAAAAAAACAAAGTCCATATTTTGTACCATAGAAATGTTGGGGAAGTTTCCTTGTCTGTAAAACACATGGTGTGTTCTGTGCTGACTAAATGCTGTTGCTGCTCTGATAAAAACTCAGAGGACTCAATTGTCCTTCAGTTGTTTTACTACCTCTGCTTTTTCCTGTGGTGGTGCAATGGGACTAAGCAGGTGAGCAGGACAGTTTGGTTGATAGGGCATCCACAACTGGACCACAGTTTTTCCCTGCTGTCTTGGATGACTCAAGCTGACTTTGCCTTGTTATCCCCTAGGTGATACTGGGATAGGAGAGCACCTTGATGAGTGTAGTGGGTGAAGTACTAAAATATTGTAATATGAAGTACTACAGTAGTGGATTAAGAGCATTGGAGGGCAAGAGAGAGTTAAAAGATGCTTTAGTGGCATATGAAGTCCTTTTATCATCTTATGGCTTAATTCCTTAAAATATGGAGTTTCTCAAGGGGAGTTTTCTGTCTAATCAGCTAAATGGCTGTGAATTTATCCCCTGTTCATCTGTCTTTGGAGGCCCTTGTGTTTGCTGAGTAGACACAAGGATCACTATCCTGTGCAGAGGACAGAGCTATATCCCTTGAGAGACCCACCCCT